TTGAAGACAGGATGCTAAGTGAAAAAAGCGAATCACAAAAGACCACATACAAAATGATTTCTTGCATATGAAATGTCCAGAATAGCTAAATCCATAGAAACAGAAAGCAGATTAGTGGTTGCCAGGGAAAGGGAGGAGGAAGGAACAGGGAGTGACGGCTTAATAGGTACGGGGTCTCTCTCAGGGGTGATGAAATGTTTTGGAACTAGAGGTGGAGGCTGCACAACACTGAGAATGTACTAAATGCCATTAATCTTTTAGTTTAAAATGGCTAATTTTTTTTTTTTTTTTGAGACAGAGTCTCACTTTGTTTGCCCCAGGCTACAGGTGAGTGCCGTGTGTCAGCCTGGCTCACAGCAACCTCAATCTCCGGGGCTCAGCGATCCTACTGCCTCAGCTCCCGAGTAGCTGGGACTACAGGCATGCGCCACATGCCCGCTTATTTTTTTTTTTTGTATATATATTTTTAGTTGGTCAATTAATTTCTTTCTATTTTTGGTAGAGACGGGGTCTTGCTCAGGCTGGTTTCGAACTCCTGACCATGAGCAATCTGCCCGCCTCAGCCTCCCAAAGTGCTAGGATTATAGGCGTGAGCCACCGCGCCCGGCCTAAAATGGCTAATTTTATGTTATGTGAGTTTAATGCCAGCTAAACTTTAGAAAAGAGAAAGAAAGGTTGAGCGATTCGCCCAGGCTCAGGGTCACATAGCCAATGCCAGGCGGGGCGCTGCAGGGATTCTCCCACTGGGGCAACTGTGGACCACACTGACCCCTTATTCCTCAGGCTTCGTGCTCATCACCATGACCCCAGTTTCCAGAGTAGAGGCACCGGGTCAAAGGCTCTGCATGCAGATGGCACAGGAAGGGGGGGCTGGGGGGTGGGAACGCAGCACAGCCAGAACCCCACAAGACTGGTCGGTGCAGTTTCCTCAGGGCGAGCAGGAGCAGAGTGGGGGGGGCAGGCTCCCCTTTGGCCTGCACTTTTGGCTACACCTGTCCTTTCCACACCTGCCTCCTGCCTGCGCGGAGTATGTGCGGCCCTGCTCGCTTGCAGAAACCAGGACTCAAGGCGCTCCTTCCCTGTGACCTCCTTCCGGCCCCACAGCCCACAGGTCCAACACGGCAGGGACCTGCCTCTGGCCACCACACAGCCTCAGAACACAGCTGTGCTTCTCTGAGCCCCAGTTTCCACGTCTGAAAACGGACGTAACAAGGACTCTACCACAGAGCGGTTCACATAGGACGGTGGACCTGAAACTCCCAGCATGGCTCTAGGCAGATGTGGATGAAGGCACCAGGAACTGTTTGTCCATTTGCCCCTAAGACGCCGCAGGCTTCTCTGGCAGTCTCCTGAAAAGTTGATTATGGCCTTGGAAATGTGTCCAAGGTACATCATTAACTGAAAGAGCAAGCAAAACCGGTGGGCCCGGCACTTAGCAGACACTAACACGCAGGAACTATTATTATGTGTTTGGGTTTTTAATGCTTTACCCGCTTAAGTTTCCACACCCACAGAACATCTCTGGAAGGCTTTGTGAGAACCCAGACAGCGATTAACTCCTTCTGGGAATGGGCGGGAAGGAAATTTTCACTTAATACCTTTCTGACCTCTTGAAAGTTTTCACTGTGAGCATGTGTTGCTTTTATAATAAATTAATAGTTTAAAATGAAATTAAATTCTGCAATAAAAATGTTATTATAACCCTTTCTGTGAACAGATGAGGAAAATGGCTCCCAGATTGCACCTCCTCCAAGAAGTCCCTCGATGGGTCAGACATACTGCTTCTTCCAGGCAGATGGGGTCACACTGACTGTCACTGTTTGCTTGTCTGCCTCTCTCATGAAATTAGGAGGATCCAGAGGAAAGGGCCTGCCTGACTCATCCCTGAGTCCGACCACCCAACCCTGGGGCTAGGCACAGATGATTAAAGAAATGAGGCTCAGAGAGGTTAAGCCAGCTGCCTGAGATCACAAAGTAAGTGGTTGTACAGGATGAGACCCAGGGCTCTGGCGTCCAACCCTACTACAACCTGACTTCCCTAGGACAGCCCCACCCACTCACCAGAAAGGTCCCAAAGAGGCCACCTGGGAATTGTCCAAATGGCCTAAGGCCTCATGCAGGTGCTATGCTATTTGGGGTGTGGGAGATAAGGTGGTTCATACTCCAGGTAGGAGCCGGGGGTGCCCCAGGTGGAGCTACGAGAAAAGCCACAAAAGAAGAATGGCTTATCCCCGTGTTTCTTGTTTTTTGAGACAGAGTCTCGCTTTGTTGCCCAGGCTAGAGTGAGTGCCGTGGCGTCAGCCTAGCTCACAGCAACCTCAAACTCCTGGGCTCAAGCGATCCTGCTGCCTCAGCCTCGCGAGTAGCTGGGACTATAGGCATGCACCCGGCTAATTTTTTCTATATATATTAGTTTTGGCCAATTAATTTGTTTCTATTTATAGTAGAGATGGGGGTCTCAATCTTGCTCAGGGTGGTTTCGAACTCCGGACCTCAAGCGATCCGCCCACCTCGGCCTTCCAGAGAGCTAGGATGACAGGCGTGAGCCACCGTGCCCGGCCCCATTGTGTTTCCTTATTTGACACTTCAAAATTGAGATTTCAACTTCTTTTCCAAGAAAACACCAAATGGCGGATGAGGCCGGTGCAGCTGGAGGGCCTGGAGGCCCCGGGGGCCCTGGAATGGGAGGCTGCGGCAGCTTCTGTGGAGGCTTCAGCAGCAGCATTCATGGCCAGGTCGCGGCCAGAGTCAGGGCGGGGCCAAGGCCGCAGAGCTCGCGGAGGCAAGACCGAGGACAAGGAGTGGATGCCCGTCACCAAGCTGGGCCACCTGGTTAAGGACGTGAAGATCGAATCCCTGGAGGAGATCTATCTCTTCTCCTGGCCTATCAAGGAGTCTGAGATCATTGATTTTTTCCTGGGGGCATCTCTCAAAGATGAGGTTTTGAAGATCATGCCAGTGCAAAAGCAGACCCGCGCTGGCCAGCAAACCAGGTTCAGGGCATTTATTGCCATCGGGGACTACAATGGCCACTTCGGTCTAGGCGTTAAGTGCTCCAAGGAGGTAGCCGCTGCCATCCGGGGGCCGTCGTCCTGGCCAGGCTCTCCATTGTCCCCATGCGGAGAGGCTACTGGGGAACAAGATCAGCAAACCCCCACTGTCCCTTGCAAGGTGACAGGCCGCTGCGGCTGTGTGCTGGTGCATCTCAGCCCTGGCCCTAGGGGACTGGCATCGTCTCGGCCCCTGTGCCCAAGAAGCTGCCGCTGATGGCTGGTATCGATGGCTGCTACACTTCAGCCAGGGGCTGCACTGCCACCCTGGGCAACTTCGCCAAGGCCACCTTTGATGCCATCTCCAAGACCTGTAGCTGTCTGACTCCTGACCTCTGGAAAGAGGCAGTATTCGCCAAGTCTCCCTACTAGGAATTCACCGACCACCCTGTCAAGACCCACGCCAGCGTCTCCGTGCAGAGGACCAGGCTCCAGCTGTGGCTACAACATAGCATTTTTATATGAGAAAAATAAAGTGAAATTAAGCCTGTTAAAAAAAATATTGAGATTTCAGCTTCCTAAGTCTAGGTACAAATTTTTCTGATGATGGCAAAGTCCTTCTGAAGCAAAGAGCAGCTGCCACTTCCTGGAAGATGGTCATACATGTGCCCATCTGCCCTTTAGAAGCATCGATGTCTCACAGGCACCTCCAACTCCCCATTGCTGCAAGAGCCAGGGAGAGGCTCCAACCCTACCTTAGAAGGGCTGGGCCTCTGTGAGCTCCACCTGCCCTGGCGGTAGCACCCAGCCTGGCTCTAACCCTGTGGCCCCGTCTGCCCCAAAGCCATAGGCCAGCCTTGTCCAGACCAGGGTGACCTCGACCTCCCAACAGCACTTAGTGGATGCATTCTCAGCAGACATGCAGCCAATAGCAAACATCATCACTGTGCCCTAAAACAAACAAGCATAACTTACAGTCCTAAAGTGAAGAAATTTCGGGAAAATTAGCTCTTCCTGCTCTATTTTGCTTTTGGAGAAGTATCCTTAGAGTCATGATCTTCAAACTTTTTGGTTCACATGAGCCTTAACATTTTTTAGGGGGAAACCCCATGACTCCCCAAAATCTTCAGCTGCAATTACAATTTCTAATGATTTATAAATGTTGATATTTTAAGAGAAAATTGTTACATGACTGTTTTAAAAATAATCGATGGAATCTAAGTTCCATAGCAATTCGACTCCCACTTTTATCCACTTAAAAATTCTTTTTTTTTTTTTTTTTTTTTGAGAAGTCCCCCTTTTTTTCCCCTTAAAAATTTTTTTTTTTTTTTTTTTTTTTTGAGACAGTCTCGCTTTGTTGCCCAGGCTAGAGTGAGTGCCATGGCGTCAGCCTAGCTCACAGCAACCTCAAACTCCTGGGCTCAAGCAATCCTCCTGCCTCAGCCTCCCGAGTAGCTGGGACTACAGGCATGCGCCGCCATGCTCGGCTAATTTTTTTTTCTATATATATTAGTTGGCCAATTAATTTCTTTCTATTTATAGTAGAGACGGGGTCTCGCTCTTGCTCAGGCTGGTTTCGAACTCCTGACCTCAAGCAATCTGCCTGCCTCGGCCTCCCAGAGTGCTAGGATTACAGGCGTGAGCCACCGCGCCCGGCCAAAAATGTATTACATTATAACGTTTGATAAATAATTACTGACCAATAAAGTAAAATTTATTAGAAATGTACTAATCATACAAAGAGGCCTTGTTTTCTCAATTAGTTCATGGTATCTACAGATTAATATTCCTAGTTAGAATGAGACATGGGTCAGGTAACTTTTGTTCTTTTTTAATTTATAGATATAAAACATGTAGAAAATGTATTTATATAAATAAGCTGATAGGAAGGGAAGAACTTTTGTCATAGAAATGCCGCTCAGTTCTTTGTCTTTAAAGATAAGTGGCAAAAAAATTCACATAAGGACACTCCATCATGTAAATTGTATTTATTCATCAGTCAATGGACAACTTGGTTTTGTTCAACTTGTTGATATGTCTTCACTTTGTTGGAAACACTCGGATTGCACAGAGATTTGTTACACAGTCGCGAGAGCCCTTCACTCTACCAGTTTCTGGAGAAGTGCACCAAAGAGTTATCTGGGAGCTGTGGATACGCTGTACCTGTCACTCTTTCACTTAATGGCACTTTGTTTAACCAGACACATGCAGAAAGAATCGGAAAAATTAAAATATTAATTTCAATATGCTTTCCCCCAATTATTAAATGCTCTTGTCATATGCTCTACGTATATTTTTGACAAAATTTTAAAGCTATAGAGTGAATTCATTTGATTGATGGAAAATATCCACCAAAGTAACCAGTTGGCAAAGTTGGCACAATCTCGCTGCCAACCCAACACGCTTATCAGACACACTTTCTCTGAGGGAAGAGTGGGCTTCATCTTTCAGCTCAAACCAAGGTCTGATGTGCATCTTTGTGACCATCCTCTCACCTCCGAAGTCTAGGTAAGTGCTGATCACCAGGTGCACAGGTAGGCCTTGCCCACGGCCGCGCCGCCTTCCATCCTCCTTGTCGCGGGCTCTTTGCTCGCTCCTGGAAGACTTGTCTGACGACACAGGACAAAAGAGCCATGTTCATTAAAAACAAACAAACAAAACAAAAAGTTTTCACTCCTGCTCTACTGTACAATATATCTGAATTCAGAACATTCCTACAGGAAATCAAATCTCTGTTTCCGACACCAGTTCTGCCCCGCTAGAAGTATTAATATGCGGGGCACAAAGACAGGAAGTGCTATCTCTGTGCCTGCACTAAACGGGCTTTGCCAATCCCTGTGGTTGGGCTTCTGACCCAGGATGGATGCAGCAGGCCTCTCTCTTGCATGGCAGGAAGGAGGCTATGGGAGGGGAGCTGGGAAAACCACTGACCCCCCCACCCAACAGGCAGGGCCTGGAGATTGAGTTCCTTAGACTCTCTGTGGCCACATGCCACTTGGAAAGTCTTCACGGACCCCCATAATACAGCCCCTCTCACCCCCCAGTGAAGGCTACTGCCTTTGGGGCACTCTTAGAACTGGAGGGACCTCTGGGCCACTTGCCCAAGGAAAGCAGACCCTGCCTGAAATGTCTTCAGCTGCAGAGGGTCACAGTGGCCGAGGCCTCCCAGGCCTCCCCTGCCAACCCAGACCCTTCGGAGGTTTCTCCTGGGACGTCTCCAGGCACTCCAAGCACAGCCCTGGCCCCAGCCTGCTCCTCCTCCAGGCTGCTCTCTGTGAGAGCACTGCCTTCCACTGCAAATCTGGAAGCTGTCCCTTAATCAGGGCACTCATGTTCAACAGTCATCAATTGCTGTGTGTCCTTTTCTGGTCGTTCCTGGGGTTAGTCACCTCTCTGGAGCCACAGCCTCAGGCCTAGCTTAGACCCTGCCTGAGGCTCCTGGACTGTTGCACCATCCCTGGCAGGCCCCAGGCCTCCCGCCTTATTCCTCCCCCTTCATCCTCCTCCCAGACGCCAAGGGCCCTTCCCAAGCCTGACCTCAAGTCTCCTCTGCTTAAAATCCCCTATGGCTCCACTCAGGCCGGGCAGTCAGAGCCCAGTGCTCTCTGCCCCGTCCTGCCCCTCAGCCCCATCTCCCACGGGCGCCAGTCCCCACATCACGCTGCACACTGGTCACACTCGCACTGCATGGGAGTGCTGTCAGCTGCCCTCCCTCTGCACCTGCAAAGTGGGTGGCAGCACACCCATCCACTGCACGGTTGTTGTCAGAATTGAATAAGTATCCACTGTGCTGGCACAGAAAAGCTACCTCCTGTAGACCCCTGCTTTGGGCCTCAAACCGGTGGGCTTGCAAAATGGAAGACAGTTTAAAACAGCTGAAGGTAGGCCGGGTACGGTGGCTCAAGCCTGTAATCCTAGCACTCTGGGAGGCCGAGGCGGCCCGATTGCTCGAGGTCAGGAGTTCAAAACCAGCCTGAATGAGACTCTATCTCTACTAAAAATAGAAAGAAATTAATTGACCAACTAAAAATATATATATATAAAAAATTAGCTGGGCATGGTGGCACATGCCTGTAGTCCCAACTACTTGGGAGGCCGAGGCAGGAGGCTCGCTTGAGCCCAGGAGATTGAGGTTGCTGTGAGCCAGGCTGACGCCATAGCACTCACTCTAGCCTGGGCAACAAAGTAAGACTCTGTCTCAAAACAAAATCAAAAACAGCTGAAGGTCCTTAGTGCAGACCAGATGGAAGTGTGGTAGCCTGGGCTCACACATGTGACCTCAGAAAAGCCGTTTTTCTAGCTGGGCATGGTGGCGCATGCCTGTAGTCCCAGCTACTCGGGAGGCTGAGGCAGGAGGATCCCTTGAGCCCAGGAGTTTGAGGTTGCAGTGAGCTACGATGACTCCGCTGCACTCTAGCCTCCACGACAGAGTGAGACCTCATCTCTAAAACAAAATGAGGTGATAGAAGTACTGTCTTCATGGGACGCCCCCTGTAGGATCTAAAGGACACATTCGGGTAGAGCACGAAGGTCAGCACCAGGCTCAATCAACCCAGCTGTGGCTATTACCACCCCTTCCCCCAGGCGCCCCTTGGCCCACACCCCCCAGAACAACCCTTCTTCAGACATCCATACACGTATTCTCCTAAAATCCTGTGTTCAACAAACCTTTACTGAGCACACAGAGTGCGGGGCAAGCCGCACCTGGGGATGTGAGGCGACTGCAGCACACCTACCGGGGCGTGCGCGGGGGCTGGCCTCCGGTGAGGGCGCAGGTGTTGGAGACGTGGTGACATGGCCAGTGATCTCATCACAGCTGTGCTGCGGCTGTGAAGGGAAGTTCCAGGGGAGAGCACGCCGCAGCAGGTGGGTGGAGGATGGCTGTGCAGAGAGAAAGTGGCCAGTGTCCGGTGTAGGGCTGCGGGCGGGGATGTGGCGTGGGCGCCGAGGGGCACATGGTGCAGAGTGTTGTGCCCTCAGCCAGGAGACCCCGACCATAGCCGCTGATCACAGGCACCCCCTTTCCCTACCCACTTCAGCAAAGAAAGCAACACGAAGTTCGAAACCAGACAAAACCAAAGCTATGGGGCCAGGAGTCAGAACCGGGGCTGCCCTTGCGCGGGGAGCAGGGAGCGGGGAGTGGGGGCAAGAGGGAGCTTGGGGTCGGGGCGGTGTCCTGAGTCTCCATCAGAGCTGCGGTTACAAGGCTGCATGCACCTGGCAAAACTTGTCAAACACTTAAGATCGGCACATTTTATGCCATGTAATTATACCTAAAAAGAGAGATTGAGGGGGGAGGGGGGGAAATGGGCATTTATTGAAATCTTAAAATCTGTACCCCCATAATATGCCGAAATAAAAAAAAAAGAGAGAGAGATTGAGAGAGGGAGAGAGAGAGGAAGGAAGCCCAGAAGGAAGGATAGGTGAGACAATGAAACAACATGAAATGCAGATCAGAAACAAACAATAAAGGAGCCAGTCTGAGGGCCAAAATGGGGTTGTTCAACCTTTCTGAACCTCAGTTTCTCCATTCATCAAACTGACTCATCAGCTGACTTCACAGAGTTCTGCGACCCTAGAAATCTCTGTGGGCAGTGCGTGGGCATCAGGCCCCCCCCACAGCTCTCTGGACTGCATCATCCACACCCGTGAAATGGGGATGGAGGGCAGATGGCAGCCAGGAAAAGCCTCGCTGGCTTCAAAGGGACCTCTGACCACAACTAGCCTCCTGGTCCTGTTGCCTGCCTTGGCCGTATCAGTCTCCAAAACTTTCCTTTCTGTTTGCTTTCTAAAGCACACAGTACATTCTGAAACCATCTGCAGTCTCTCACCTGGGACCACGCAGCCAGCAGCTCCTCTCCCCAAGAGATCACGGCTCAGTGCCATCCACTCTGTCTCTCCGGGCCCCTCACAGCTTCCCTCTGCGGGAGGAGGATCTTGCAGGGATGGTGGCAGCAAATGCATGACAATAAACAAAACCACTTTTTAAATGTCAGAAATAACCCCTGGATTGTGCACAGCTTTAGAAAGCACTGCAGTAACTATCCCTATATACGCCAACAGAAAAGACATGGAGTCACCACGATGTGACTTTCACCTAGGGACAGGAATCATGTCTGGGGGCCAGAATACACGGACAAAGGAGGGGTGGGCCTGGGGAGGCTGGACTGGGCGGTAGAAGTCAGACTGTGAAGGGCTTGAGGATCACAGTGCATGGGGAAGTGTTAAGCCGGGGAGGAAGAGAACAGTAGCAGAAAGTGTAGCAAAGACTGTCGTTTCCCTTAACTCATTCATTTGGGGCACAAATGTGTCCTGCCAAGACTGCATTTTCCAGCGTCCCCTGGAGCCAGGTGTGATGTGTGACTGTGTTCTGACCAATGAGACAGAGGGAGAAGCTCAATAAAGACAGGACAGAGCTGAGGAAAGCTCTCTTTACCCATTTCCCCTCCTCCTGCATTCCACCTGGGCGAAGACATGGTGGCTGGAGCACCAGTATTCATAGTTGTTTTGGGCTATCAGGTGATCTCTAGGTTAGAGCCCAAAACTGAGGATGGCACAGCAGAGAAATATGCTAATTGTTCCTGATTCCAAACTAGTGGCCAGTAGGCCAAGAATGCCAGGCAGACTGATGGCTAGACTGGTAGACTGGTAGACCCAGTACCCACCCCAAGCAAAATGCGTTTGGATCTTCGCATCCCATTCAGAAGCCTTCGAGCCCACCCTCTGACACCCATCCTCCCACCCTCCCCATCAGTGAGCTGCTGTTCTTTGGCTTCTCAGGCTGGAAACATGGGTGTCATCCTCCGTTCCCCTCTTTCTCCTCTATAAGCCCCTCTAGCTGTGCCTCAAAATACATCTCTAGTCCAGCCACTTCTGCTCATTCCCTCATCACCAGTTTGGCCCAGGTCACTGTGCCCTCCCATCTGGGACACTGCAACAGTGTCTTAGCTGCTCTGCCTGCATGCAGCCTCAGTGATGTTATAAAATATTAATCCAATCATGTCTTTGCCCTGTAGGTTCCTACTGGACTTAGAAAAGAACCTGCACTCCTTGCCCTGACCTCCCCCACACCAACCACCAGTCTCCCCAGTGTCCAGAGGAGGGCACGGAGCTCATGAGTGGCTATGCTGGGCACTGTAGACCCAGAGACGAATGAGACACACACCGCCCCCTGACCCCCAACCTGGTGAGAAACCAGACAAGTGAGATGGTGGCGAAATAAGGAGGCTCTTTCTCTCCTCAGGGCCTCCCCACAGGCTGTTCCCTCGCCTGGCTGCTCTTCCCTTCTCTCCCCATCCAGCTAAGTCCTGCTTAGTCTTTGGGCCTCACTCAGAAGCCTTCTGTGAGTCCTCCAACCCCCCAATCTAAGTGGGCTCCTTCCTCGTTGTGTTCTTATAGCCAATGGTGTGCTGGGGAGCTGGGGGTGGGGAAAGCCCCGATTTGCTGAGTTCACCAACTCGCGTGGTGTAAATACTCCCAACACAGCCACTTGCAAGCTACCGGTATGACATCACTGAACAGGAAGTCAGGAAGAACTGCGCGACCGGCTCTCTTGCGCCAGCACTCGCCAGCCCCGTCAGTTAGGGTGGTCACCGTTCACAGTGGATATTTACCTTTTCCACGCCAGTGTTCCCTGCTGTCCCGTAACGTGTCTGTGACATTCCCAGGGTCTAGCGCAGTGTCTAGAGTTTGTCACGGCTCCAAGTCAGCACCCAGAGAATGAATGGAAGGGAGAGGTGCCCGCTTCCTCCTGGTGTCGGCCAGGGTCCTGACAGGGAAGCAGACCGATCTCAGCGACTGACTCACTCAATGGTGGGTTCTGGCTGGGCAACTCTCGGTCAGGAGCTGGTGCTACAGCACTGGCAGAATTTCTTGTCTTTCTCGAGGGAACCTGCTTTGCCCTTAAGGCCTCCCACCACTGGGAGGGGCCCACCCACAGCGTCACGGTGGCTTTCACTTAAAGGCAACTGATAGCTGTTAACCACTGCTATGAAGCATGTTCCATGCAACACTTGGAGAGTGTTTGGTAAACAAATGGCACTCTGGGAGGCTGAGGCAGGCGGATTGCTCGAGGTCAGGAGTTCGAAACCAGCCTGAGCAAGAGCGAGACCCCGTCTCTACTATAAATAGAAAGAAATTAATTGGCCAACTAATATATATAGAAAAAATTAGCTGGGCGTGGTGGCGCATGCCTGTAGTCCCAGCTACTCAGGAGGCTGAGGCAGAAGGATCGCTTGAGCCCAGGAAGTTTGAGGTTGCTGTGAGCTAGGCTGACGCCATGGCACTCGCTCTAGCCTGGGCAACAAAGTGAGACTCTGTTTCAAAAAAAATAAAAAAAGAAAAATGGGCTGTGGCCTTGCTAAGTGGAGACATAAAGCTAACCAGCAGCACATGCCTATTAGGCAGGGATTCTTTTCCTCTTTCATTGAGGTCCTTATTGGAGTAATTTCTCCCCAGAGCTATGTCCACTGTGTTCAGGATGAGTACCTAGGGGTCACCAGTCACCTGCCCCAATGCACACTCTGAGCACCCCTGCTCTTTCCTCACTCTCCATCTGGTGTGGGAGAAACTCAGTGGGGCAGTTGTGGCACCAGGATTCTTGAGCCTGGGCTCAGAGCCCCAACTGGAAACTCCTGTCCAGATGGGCTCAGCCTCATGGCACAGAGGAGGAGGCTTGTGGGAGACCACTGCGGACACACAGGAATCCGGCACTTCTCAGGGCCCAGCAGGCATTCCAGATCTCCCTTTCCTCCCGAGGCCTGGCCTGGGCCCTGCTCCTTTCCTCCTTAGCCAGCCACCACCCTCTCTTCCCCTGGGAGTCCCGCCCACAAGTCACCCTTGCCTCAAGAATACCCACCTGTGTGTTCTAAAGGGACAGAGGCACAGCTAACAAGGAACATGTGGGCAGAGTCCAGGGTTCAAGGTTTTAGTGGCATTGTCCCCACCCTCTCTGAGATGACCCTGGACCCACCAGAGGCTTCCGGCTTCTCCTTTGGGGACCCCAAGCATGTCAAGTCTCCCCACCCTCACAGCCCTGCCCTTGGAGAAGCCCAGCCTTCCTTCTGCAAGGTGGAAGGGGCTTGCTGGGGCAGGGCTGCAGACGCGGGTCACGGAGCCCTGAGTCCACTCTCTCAGCTCACATGTTCCAGGCACCCCTCTCGTCACAGGCACTCAGCCCGCCACCTACGGTGCCCTCCCAAGCTCTAGGGCTTCTGTCCCGGGTGATCCTGGGGCCTTGGTACCCAGAGCTGGGTGAGAAAGGGCCCAGTCCTCTGTTGAACCGGTAACAGATGCTGACTAGCCTCTTCCAGGGTAATGAGTTATGCCATTTTCCAAAAGAGGAAGCAGGCTCAGGCGATGAAGCATCTTGCTCCAAACCACACAGTGGAGTCAGGACTTGAATTCGGCTCTGACCCACAGGGCACCTGCCGGGCACCTGCTCCCATGGCCCATCACTCCACAGCGCAGCTGCCACAGCTTTACACCTGAGCTGTGCGTGACCCCGGGACCCCGCGGTGGGGAGGGCTGCACAGAACCCCAGGCCCGCTAGGCCCTGAACTGGTGTCACGTGAGGAGGAGAGCCCTGCTCATTGCGCCAAGCTCTTACAATGCTTCAGCTTCCCAGCCTCCTACCGCTGCCATTGTGGTGGGTACAAGTGAGAGGTAAGTCATGGCCAGCAGCCCCGAACCAGTCCCACACCAGGAACGGGTGTTTCCAGCCCACACCTGGAAGGCCTGAGGAATCGCTGATCTTGTTGGGAAGGGGATTTTCTGGGAGGAAAGGCTTCGCATGCTCTGTCTCACTCAACAGGGCTATGAACTGTTATTGTGCCCATTTTACAGATGAGGACACTGAGGTGGTTATTTGCCCAAGGTCACACAATGCTAAGTGGTAGAGGCAGGTCTATCTGGCATCAAAACCCTCATTCTTTGAACCATATCACACAAACTGTGTACAGAAGCTTGTCCCAAGCCCCTCAAAACTGATCTTATTAATAATTCCACTCTCTGGGAGGCTGAGGCAGGCGGACCCTTTGAGCTCAGGAGTTTGAAACCAACCTGAGCAAGAGCGAGACCCCGTCTCTACTATAAATAGAAACAAATTAATTGGCCAACTAATATATATATAGAAAAAATTAGCCGGGCATGGTGGCGCATGCCTGTAGTCCCAGCTACTCGGGAGGCTGAGGCAGGAGGATTGCTTGAGCCCAGGAGATTGAGGTTGCTGTGAGCTGGGATGACGGCACAGCACTCACTCTAGCCTGGGCGACAAAGTGAGACTCTGTCTCAAAAAAAAAATAAAAATAAAAAAAATAATAATTCCAGAGGGGCTTGGAAACCTATACCCAAGCTCTTAACCAGAATTTGATCTGTCCTGGGGGAGGGGACTGTGGATGTGAAAATTCTTCTCTGCGGGTCTGCTTCTCAGACCCACAGCTCATTGTAGACCAACACCCTGGCATCTAGAACTGCCCTTCAGCCCTGCAGAGTGGGATGTGGCCCCTCTGGGAGTGTGAACCTTTCACAGGATAAGGTCTGTGCCTGGGTGCAGCTGGGGCAGTGGAGACGCCCCCACCCCGAAAGCTGCTGTTGTGTGCTCCTCCCCCTCCCCACCCCAGCCTGCGGGTCAGGCCTGCAACACTCTCTGCGCGCCCCAGCCCAGGTGAGAGCAGCTGCAGCCAATATGGACCAACACGGGCCAGCAACGGGGCACGCCCATTTCCAGGAACTAAATGTGGTGCAGATAACAGAGTCTCTAGGCTTGGTCCTGCCCAGGACGGAGCACCCCAACACCCCAACTGTCTCAGCTTGGCTCACTCTCAGAGGGTGGGGGGGAGAGCTGGTGGGGTTTAGGTGTGATGAACGGAGCCTAGAATCTAGCAGGGACCGTGGCTATGTCCCTCCTCTCTGGATCTCCTGCTTCTTGGAGTTATTGGCAGCGCTGTTGGTAGCTGACAGCCCTGCACTGTGCTAGTCGCCCACATGGATAAGCTCGTTTAGCTGCCATCACAGCCCCTGAGAGAGCTCCTATTATCACTCCATGTTACAGATACAAGCTGAGGGCCAGAGAGCTCAAGTAACTTGCCTTGGGTCACACAGTTAACAAGTGACCGAGCCAGGCCTTGGACCCAAGCAGTCTGGCTCCAGGACAAGCCCACACAGTATCTGTACAGAAGCAGGGCCCAGTGCGTGTTGGGACTGCTGTGGTTGATGTGATTTTATCCTCAACTTCCAGGTGCTTTTACCTCTGATTTCATTCCCCCCATGGTATGGTTTTATTACACTTTCATCCACCCCCAGGATAGAATCAGCTTACAGATGAGGAAACTGAGGCTCAGAGAGGTTAAGCAATTTGCTCAGTGTCACATAGCTGGTAAAGGGGACAACCCAAATTCAAAGAATTCTCTCAATTCCCAGTTAAGGACCTCCCACTCATGAGGGATCAATGGATTACAGAATTTAAACATCCTGAGTGTTCTTATTTAATAAGTCTAGATTCAAGTCAGTCATGACCTAATGTCAGAAGAATTGAGGAATTCCTCCATGCCTTCCTCTGACCTTGTTCAAGGTCTCGCCTCAGGACCCTGGGGATTGCAGCAGTGGGGATGGAGCCATGAGACCTGGGAACTGCAATCCCAGCAATGCTTTGGGGTACTCTGCTGAGGCATGGGTGGGCCACCCTTTCCCGTAGGGCAAGACAGGGCCTGTCACTCCCTTGCTATGCAACTTAGGACAAGGCCCTGCTTTCTCTGGACATCAGGACCCCACGAGGGGGAGGGCTGCCTGGTGCGGTGACTCCAGGGGGCTCCAGGAGGAAGGCGGGGACCCTGTCAGATGACTGGGAGGCCGTGAAGTCACATGCCTCCCTATGGCTTGTCCAAAGGACAAGTGGTCCTCATAGGGACAGCTCTGAACACCTATCAAGCCTGAAACCTGGGAAGGGTGCCCAGGAATGACCATGGAGAAGAGCCGTGGCTTCTTTGTGGTTGGATTGTCACATGGGCCACAGAAATGAAGCTGACTAGTTTGAGCACAGGTCTTGGGGTCCAAAGACAGGGGGTAGTCTTCTGGCTCTGCCATCAGCCAGCTGTGTGACCTTAGCCAAGTTACCCAGCCTCTCTGAGCCTTGGTTTCTTCATCCATAAAAATGCAGATAATATTTGTGGGGAACCTGGCATAGAGACCAGCAGCTGCTCACTCGGTGGACAGTTATTAAAGCTGATAATCACAGAGGTGAGGCTGTCACAGGGGCGGCACAGAAGTTACCACTTATGAGCACCTACTATGTGCCAAAGCATGCGGCACAGACTGGGTCCTTCATAATGGTGCTGTGTGTGTGTGTGTGTGTGTAAATCTCTATCTAGAGACAGAGAAAATGGCAACACTGGTGCCTTCAGGGAGAATAGCTGGCTGGATGCCTGGGGGGATGAGGGCTGGATTGGCACTGAGTAAATACATGTATTTTGAATTTAGAATTATGTGACTGTTTTACATCTTTAAAAATGTACATTAAAATTAGACTTATCAATTTATCGTTTGATCCTCAAAATGACCAGCAAGAGAGAGCAGGACACCCACTCATTTGGCAGATGAGGAGACAAAAAGGTGACATGGCTTGCTCCTGGGCACACAGCACAAAACGGGGCAACCTGGGGCCTGACCGCAGCGGTGCCGCAGTCCGGGAGCTCTGAGTGTGCCGCCTGCTGGCAGGGGTCTGGGAGTGTGCTCTAGAGGAGGGCCCCTGCGGCCCCTGCTAGGGGCAGCACCAGCAAGTGTCCTCAGTCTGTCTGGCAGATTTCATTGGCTCGGTATGAGAACCTGCCCCACAGGCCTCAGCTCTGCTGGGGAAGAAATAAAAATAGCCAGGCTGAGAGCCAGGGGCTGGGCTGCGGG